TATGTGGAGAAAGCGAGAGTTTTACGGAGTAATTTGACGATGTTTCGCCCGTGTTAAGTGTGGAAGTATTATGAGTGGTTTTCGGAAGTGTTGTGATTGCCTCCAAAGTCATTTAATGTGTGACTTACCGAAAGTGTTGACAGACTAACCGCAAGAATCAACAGCCAAGTGTGTTCTGCCAGAAAGGAGATGGCTTGCCCCGCGGCTTTGAAAATGAAGCTCACGATCGAGCTGATGAGGCCGGGGAGAAGAGAACCGATTTTTTTGCCGATTGTCTGTAGCCCATTGCCGATGCCCTTGCCCAGCTTTTTTAGAGCTTTGGTCAATACCCCAATAACGGCGCCAATCGTGACTCCAGCGGCAAAGACAATGGCAGTGACAGTGAACCCATATTTTTTGAAAATCTCTGTTTCGCTTTCACGAAACGGGAACTTTTCCCGAAGCTTCTCATTTTGTTCTTCGAGAGCGGCGACGTTTTGTCTCTCTTCTTCTACTTTTTCACGTGCTCTCTCCCTTATTTCCGGTTGTTCATTTCCATTGTTTGCAATATCTTCATTTGCCCCTATTTCTGCATTGCACCTGTCGACTCCTTCTTGATTTTGGGCAATACGCTCATGTCTTGACTGACCGAGAGCGTCTTTGAGAAACTTTGGCAAGGTTTCTCTCACTGACATATTTTCATCGAAAATCACAGTTTCGCCGCCCTATGGGCCAAAAACTACGATTTTGCCCAGGTTCTTTTGTTTCTTGAAATTTCAAGATTTAGCCCACTGCCCCCTCACAGTTATAATCAGGGTAAAGGCCTTCTAGAATTGACTGTGCCCAAATTATTCTTTGGTCTTCAGGATTATTAATCTGTCCACGGGGAATGGCTCTAATAAAAGATGTTTCTTGAATGTGCCTTCTTTCGGGCGTCCTATTCATCGTTGTAGTGTGCATGAGGTAGCATTCACCAGAGGGGCCAGGCGTTGATGAAGCCCCTGGCTGAAACGGTTGAGTTGTGTTGCGATCATCATCATCCGAACGTTCCTCGAGTGGAATAAGAGGACTTTCTTCGTTCATGTTTTATATCATATCTATATAATGGACGACAAAGAGGTTGAGACTCAAACGACTCTTCACCCAACGCACAACGAGAAACCCTCCGGGCCATGAAGGCCGAGTACACTGTGAAGTGCATCACTTTCAACCTCAGTGAAGCAAAACCAGGCGAGACGCTTTACATCCACGTGCCCAACCTGAACAGAAACGAAGTCATCGTGCCGGGAACTCTGGTGCTACGTTTCAACATCGATCTGACCGGCGGCCACGCAAACAACTTTATCGTCCAGAACGTCTCGAGAGTATTGGTCGACAAGTTCTCTGTGAAATACGTGGACACTACTCTGCAAGACACATTGGCTACGACATTAACAAAACTTTCGAGGATCTTTTCCTTTCACACCACTTGCGCTATAACAACATACTGCTGAAAGGTGTTCAAACCGAAAAATTTTGTAAAATTCGTTCGAACGCGGGGTGACAAAGAGAAAGAGCTGAAAGAGCTCTGAACGCTGTTTTTTGCAACAACTATCGCATCCGGTTGGACCACCCGATTTTGGACGATCAGTTTTCTAGCCGCGGCTCTCTACAACATGATCATGGTCGGTTTGTCACAGGTTGAGGAGAATATGGAAATCAAATTTAAGAAGAAGAGCCGTTTGTACTTAAAATCTTTTGCAAAGCTTCAAGCCATCCACCTAGATATTTGAAATTGTTCATAGATTTTATTTCCCCTCCATTCTTTGCCTTTATGGTTGTTACTCCTCCCTGGTTGAAATGCTTCACTTCCGTCTTCTTAGAGTTAAGATGTAATCCGATTTGCACTGCCTCAAGTTTCACAGATGCCAACATTTCTTGAGCTTGATGTATCTCCTCTGTGGTGCTTGTGTCGTCCGGGAAGTCTGTGTCGGTTATGACCACTGGGTGATGATTATGACTCCTCCTTCGGAGTAGCCAAAAGCTAAACATCCCTCTTTTCAGAACTGCCTCGGGACAGAGAACCTTTTATTACAGGACTGTTTAAGCTTTGGCACAATTTGCAATCTTTTCTTAAGTTAAGCCCATCGCCCTTCCGGCAAATTTGGCTGTTGGCGGTCAGATGAAACTGTCATTTCGTAACAAACAGTCAAATTTCGAACCGTAAATTAATATAGGATGGATGAGAAACTTTCGAAATTGTACTACAGCCCTTAAGGCTACTGGAATCAAAAAGTTCGCAGCCACTGCGAAGGTTTCCGAAAATGACGCAAAAAATGGCTGATACGCCAAGCCCTTTGGCAAATTTATCTTTCTGTGCAAAAACACATTCCTCGCCCCAAATTCGATGTGTCCACGCCAAACGCAGTTCACCAGACAGACCTTTTTTTCCTTCCACACGACACTGTGGGCGTGGCCCGGACCTGAAAACATACAAATACGCTTTGACCGTCGACAATGTGGCCAGCTGTTTCAAACAAGCTGAACCCTCGACCTAAAAAGACTGCTGAGGTCGGGGGCGCTGTTCAAAAAATTTTCAAACGCGGGCAGATGAAAAGG